GGCTCCGCAGCCAGAGCCTGGAGCCCAGTTTCAGGGGCCCGAGAACTCCAGCGAGAGAGATGACAGTGCGGGGGGTCTGGCCGAGGGATCATGACCCCAGTCTCCTTGGCTGGCTTTCTCGGGGGGAATGGGAAATAGAGGGGGCGCGGGTAGAGAGGTGGGCTCATCCACAGGTGGGGGTGGAGGGGGCTGTCGGTGGGTGTGCAGGACAAACAAGGGAGGGTTAGGGGGTTGACACAAAGGGGCTGAGGCTGGTCACAGAGCCTCACTCAGGAGGACGGGGAGGCCCTGGGACGGGCAGGGCTGCCGAATGGGAGACAGTGGGGGGGATCTCAGAGCCGGAGAAGGTTTGGGGTCACCTGAGGGAGTCAGAGGGCAAAGGAGGGGTGCACAGAGGCTGGGACGCTGCTAAGACGTCAGCGGGAGGGCCGGGTGCAGGAGGCACTATGGGAGGGAGGGGTGGCATGAAGTGAGAGAGGCTGACCTGGGCAGGCCATTCACAAGGATTCTGAGTGTATTTCTCACCTCGGCAATTTCTGCTCATGTACTATTGGCCTTTCCCGTTAAGTAAAGGGCCAGAAGGTTGAGAACCACTGGAGTGGATGCTGGCCATTGCCTGTCTCCAACCCACGCAGACAAGACAAGCAACGTGTCTCCCCGGACACTTACGTGGATGGGCGAGGCGGGGTCGGGCTGGACGCTCTAGAATACAAATCAGAAGGGGCTGTGTCAGCACCTCTCGGGCTCCCGCGCGCACAGTGGGGGGTTTTGGGGGGGCGGGGGGCTTGCCTTGAGCAGGGAGTACTGGCAGCTGGCCATCACCAGGCAGAAGAGCAGCACCCACAGGTCTTTGCAGAAGCCGCGGGTCAGCGTCAGGAAGCCCAGCAGCGACACCAAGACGACGAGGGAGACGGCCAGCACGTTCTCCTTGACATCCTCCGTCCTGCGAGGTACAAGCAGAGGGGGGACACGGTGGGGTGTCTGTCTGTCGCCAGGGAACCCCGCGTGCTCCCAGCGGACAGAACCCCGCCAGCCGGGCAGCTCTCTCCGCGCCTTCACACCGGCCGACAAGGCTTCAAGTTTCTTTCTCTCTTTTTTTTTAACACGATCGTAACTTTAAAAAAAAAAATCTTTGTTGTTGAAAGGATTACGTATGTCCCCTTTCCCCTGCATGGACCCCTCCAGCCTGCCCCGGTGTCTTTCTTTCTTTACAAACGCAATTTTAACCCCCGATTTCTCTCATTGAAAAGAATGAAGAATAAGCCCATTGGGTCTCCTTGGCCACTAGGGAGGGTTTCCTGGGAGAACTACCTGCTCCTCCCACAACAGCGCAATGCGTCCCGGGTAGACCCTCACCGGCTCCTTTAAATGGGGGGTAAGGGGGAGCCCAGCCAGTGTGGCTCAGTGGACAGAGCGTCGGCCTGCATACCAAAGGGTCCCAGGTTCGATTCCAGTCAAGGGCACATACCTCAGTTGCAGGCTCCCCACCCCGGCCTGGGCCCTGGTTAGGGCTCGTGCAGGAGGCAACCAGTCGATGTGTCTCTCACATCGATGTTTCTCTCTGTGTCTCCACCTCCCTTCCACTCTCTCTGAAAATTAATGGGAAAATATCCTCGGGTGAGGATTAAAAAATAATGACAACAAAAATGATAAATGGGGAGGGGGGCACTTACACCCGGCTAAAGCCGCGGTTCATTTCCTATCTCCGCAGCCAGAGCCTGGAGCCCAGTTTCAGGGGCCCGAGAACTCCAGCGAGAGAGATGACAGTGCGGGGGGTCTGGCCGAGGGATCATGACCCCAGTCTCCTTGGCTGGCTTTCTCGGGGGGAATGGGAAATAGAGGGGGCGCGGGTAGAGAGGTGGGCTCATCCACAGGTGGGGGGGGAGGGGGCTGTCGGGGGGG